AAATTTAAATAAATTTATATTATTATTTTATGTTATCATGACAATTTTTTTCGGTGGCCATCCCATGGCCGTGTTTGCAGCATCATGATCAGAGTAAATAGTGAAATGGACATGAACATATCCTCGAAACTACTCGAATTCCTTTGAAAAAAATTTTAAAAGATAAGAAGAAATATTATTAAAGGGGAAATGTTCTATCCCCTTAAAGTTATTTATTTATCATTTTTTAAATATATATATATATAAAAGAAACCAATTCAAGTTTACTAGTTTTTACGGAGTTTGATTGGTTTCTCACTGCATTTGACCAGGTCTAAATGAGTTCGACCAAGTTTTAAATTTTCTACATCATTTTTGGTTTAATATGTTGACTCGATCTAAAAGTAAGACCAAATCTGGTTAAATCCGTTGAATTGTCTAGGCCAGGTCTTTTTTAAAACCGTGGTTTGGCTTTGGTAGGCTCGTGGGTAAAAGGGACATGCCCTCTTCTCGCACCATGGGCCCGTATGCCGCAACCATCCGCTACCCAAGTTCAGTCACAAACCCTTTTCTTTTGTTTGCCCTTGCATGATGTTAACTCAATTTAAACCAACCCTTATTACCTAATTTTTTTTAAAAAAAATTTAAACCAACCCAAGTTGTTTAGTAGTTTCCTTTTTAAGGGATCTACCTAGGTTGAGTACTAAGTACGAGTACACCATTATTTATAAATATTTTATTTATTTGAGTAAATATTACACTTAAATTGTAAGCGTCATATTTAAACTATAAAAAAATTAAGTAATATGTATAAAAATAATATATATGTAAATATAAGATCAAGTAACAAATATAAAGAGTTCAACATTGTTTATGCAACCTATTTAACTGATTTATTTAACTAATCTGTTACCTATACTTATATAATTAAAAATTTATAAGTATTTATTATACTTAATATTTATATAATAACATAAAATTTTAAAAATAAAAAAAAAATTAAATTTAAAAATATAAAGAAAAGTAAGGAAAAGCATGTAAGTAAAATAAATCATATGAAACAATAGTAACTTATATAAATAACAAATTATAAACTAAATATATAATACATACAACAATAATAACTCGTATAAGGTCTCTTCTTTGCCTTTTATTTTTCTAAGTCAAATACACAAGTAAATACTCATAAATATCCCTCTACATGTTAGATTAGGTATTAAATATAGGTTTTTAAATATTTGAATAAATATCAAATTTAAAAAATTATATCTAAAAAATTTTAAATCAAATATCAAATGTAATTTATATAAGATTTGTACCAAAAATACTAGCTCCTAATCTACCCATTGTTTTGATCCAAAGGCAAAAAAAATCAAATAGCCTCCTCTTCTCTATCAAGAGTGTCAAAAAAAGGATCAAAAACTAACTAACGACTTGTTGATCTAAGTGGAAAGAAATCAATATCTTTCAAGTAAGATTTTGAGTTTAAGTATTAAAAATGGAGAAATATTCACTCGTTTGACTCATTTTTGAGATAAATGAACTATGTCACTTTTTTTAAAAAGTAAAATTTTCTCTTTTAAATTTAAAATTTTATTAAAAAACTTTAAAAATTAATTTTCAAAAATAA